TACTCTGACTCCTCCCACATCATGAAGGTGTGAAGGTGAGTCCCGCCCACTGCACAACAATCCCCGCCCCTTCCTTTCACTTCCTGTTCCTCACACAAACTCTCTTTCTAGTCCTGCTCATTACTGCCCTTGCTTTCTTTTACTTTTTGTAGAGCAAGAAATAAAATGACACAGATTATTGAGGCCTTTACACCACCCTGTTTTTCTAGAAAAATATGCCGATATGGAGAAAAAATTGCAGCGAAAATTCTAATTCTTGATCTTAAATAACTGCATATTTGTGGCTATTCCACAAACAGCTCTTACAAATGTGTCGACTGGCTTTCATTCTGTATAATTAGCATCATTTCCAATGATTAAGTCTTAACAGAGAGACTAAACAGACAAACATAAACATAACATCTGCTATCAGCTCATGGCAAAAAATAATCAACCATGATCAAAACCATGTGACAAGAATTTTAAAAAGGCAATGCCTGGTGTTAGAAACTGCACATTTGGATCATGTCGATCGTATCGCAGTGGACCTTCATAAACACTAAATTTCTCTTGTGGTTCATAAACAGTTCATTAAAGACAATTTCCACCTGCTATGTTCACACAGAAACCAGATGCATCTATTTTGGCAATAACTGTTGTAAAATTTGTTCACCTTATTAACTGTTGGGTCAGAAGCATACTTGAGACAAGTATACAAACACAGATGCAAATGTTTAGCCATTCACATTGCAAAAGCGCAACCATTTTTCAGTTTTTCTGAGTTCTTGAGTTCAAAAGACTCACGTGGGTAATAAAGTGTGCCATTAAGCCAGATAGTATTATTCAGGTAGCTATTTTTATAAACGTGTAAACTTTAACTATATAGGCCCTGTCACAAATGGTGTGTTTAATGTAACTCGGTAGTTCTAAACCAAGGCAGCAAACTTCCAAGGGGGCTTCAAGATGACTTAAAACTACTAAAAATGAAGATATTTATTATTTTAATTCACACCATAAACAACTTTTTTATCATGTAAATTAATTAAATCCTATAACTCCATGGGCATTTTTATAATATACATTTTTTTTCTAGTTATTTCAAGCTCTAAATTATTTAAGCGGGTAGCAATTATGAATGCTTTGCATACTCAATACACCCTTTTGCCAGACCCACACTGATGTGGCCTTCCAGCACACCACTACCCAGAAGTCTGTGTGGCCAAGTGCAGACCACATGACTGAGAATGCCATCTGGGACAGAGACATTCTTTTCAAATTGTTTCTTCTCGATGACAGAAAAATGTTCCATATAAGAAAAGAATTCACACTCATGTCTAATAAAGCGTCACCTTGATGGTGGCACATTTCGCATTATCAATTACAGTCTGATACATTATGCATTTTCTTCACCCAGAAATGAACATGCTGTAATCAATAACTCACCCTCTTGACACTCTGACCCTATATGACTTTCTTCTGTGGATTACAAAATTATCAATAATGAAAGTCTGTCGGGTTCAATATTGTTTCAGACACGTTCACTCACTTCATTTGGACTAAAAGAGTTGAAATTTTCTTTTAAAAAAATATTTTTTTTGTGTTCACAGAAGAAAGTAATTCATATAAGTTTGGAACGACATGTCATAAGTAAATGGTGACATTTTTGAAGATTCTGTCATTAATTACTCACCCTCATGTCGTTCCAAACCTAAGACCTTCGTTCATCTTCAGAACACAAATGAAGATATTTTTATGAAATCCGAGAGCTTTCTGACCCTGCATAGACAGCAACACAACTGACACCTTCAAGGCCCAGAAAGGAAGTAAGGACATCGTTAAAATAGTCCATGTGACATCAGAGGTTCAACCATGATTTTATGAAGCTACGAGAAACTTTTTGAGCACAAAGAAAACAAAAATAACTTTATTCAACAATTTTTTCTTATCCCTAGTACCATGACGCATGTGTGTGGTGCTGCTGACACAGGAGCCGGCGTTCTGACGTAGAACCCGGATGTGTTGCACCTTGTTTACAAGCAGAAGACGACGCACACATGCGTCGTGGTGCTCTTGTGAACGCGTGTCGAAGACTGACACGGAAGAGAAAAATTGTTGAATAAAGTTGTTATTTTTGTTTTCTTCGCATACAAAAAGTATTATCGTAGCTTCATAAAATTAAGGTTGAACCACTGATGTCACATGGACTATATTAACAATATATTGTCCATATTGTCCTGACTACCTTTGTGGGCCTTGAACGTGGTTGTTCCATTGCTGTCTATGCAGGGTCAGAAAGCTCTCAGATTTCATCAAAATTATCTTAATTTGTGTTCTGAAGATGAACAAAAGTTTACGGGTTTGGAACGACATGAGGGTGAGTAATTAATGACAGAACTTTCATTTTTGGGTTAACTATCCCTTTAAGCATTTCTAGATGCATTCACAATCTTGTATAGCGTGGACCTTATAATAATGTTTTGTGTGTGAAAAACGTTCAGCTGAAGTTCTTTGAACAGAAGAAATACGACAGTCTCTGACGATACATTTGTTCTCCTCTTCTCTTTGTTCTCTCTCTTCTTCTCCCATTTTCCCAGCTCAAGCTCTTGCAGCTGTCAAATTTGACGATGAACCCTTCTGAGTGTCCAGCAGACAAAAAAAAGACGGGAAAAAAAAACACTGAACACCAAGAACATATGTTTTGCCTCTGCCAAACATTGTATTTCTTTCGATTATTTACACAACACCATGAAGAGAAATATTTCAAAATGTTTGGATGTTTGCAGAGGGCTGTTCACGAGCGAGGTTATCTGCCTCCACATCTCCTCGCAATCCTCATTCGAGTGTGTAACCCACGGCAGAACTACGGAATTCAATTTATCATCGCTTTTGACTTTGTTTCGGAGGATGGCAGTTATATTACAAAAGCTACAAACTAGCCAGGAAGTGGACGATGTTTACAGATTCATATCTACTCTCGGTCACATTACTGACTGGAGTACATACAGCAGATTCATACTACAAATGCTGGGTACAGCTGCTCAGGGCGGATTCTGCAGACACAAGCACGTTTTTGACTGGAAAGAGCGTGACGGAGATCGAGATGCGACCAGAGGAAAATAGCCATGCTTGAGGAAGTTGAAAAAACCAGACCAAGGACTACAGCAAAGTTGTCAAAGCTCAGTTTATCTGTAAGTCATCAGAAAGAAAGATTCGGAACCGCTGGTATGATAATTAGCTGTGTTTAGAACACGAGCCTCAATCGACCCCTGAGGATTTACGAACGGAACTCAGTAGGAATCTGGAACAATCGTAGACTGTTGATGAATCCGTTGTTGTCTTGATCCAAAGGATGTTGGCATTGGGCACTTCCCCTCCATCATCTTTAAGGTCAGACTCACTGTGACTCCTCCTGGCCTCCTCTTTTCCCACAATCCTCTCCAGTTTCACAATAGGGCTTGAGAACCCTCTTCCCGTCAATGTTGCAGTCTCTCAAACCATTGTCAGGCCTTTAAGTACCGTGTGTATCTATAAAGAAAGCATATATATTGATATGACTATTACTCTAATCTTTGCATCAAAGCCATGTGGACTCATCATAGTGCTTTTACTGCTAGGACAGTATCAAATATTGGTACCTAAATACTTCTGAGCGTGTGTGGTAGATTAATAAGAAGAGAAAGCCGAACCATTGGAAGTGTCCTTAGAGTTGTAAGTCTGCTTGTTGAAACAATGCGTGTTCATGCGAGGCCAGCAACTTGCATTACAGCCTGTATATACTGATGGTAAATTATGTAACCTGTTGCCCCAACAGAATATCAAAGCCCTTATTTGTGGATCGTTGTGCCATTTGGAGATTCATTTGGCTGTTTCTTTTCTACTGTGGCACGGTTTTTGTGTAAATATAGATTGACATGGAATTAAATGGAACAATATTTTGGATTATTTTTCTATCACTGGTAATTACCTCTGTAATCAAGCAGCTTGATTATAATGTATCGTAAAGTAAAGAACAATTTGCCAAACCATATAAATCTCCTGTTTTGTACTTTGAGGTGATTTTTCCCCTAAACCTCTAAAATGCCATGCAAGTTGTTAGCCCATACTGTGCTTTCTGCTTGTCTTTTTTTAACGTGAAATTAGTCTAACTCTTGACTAAACACTGGCCTCAGCTTGTGTATGATCTGTTTTGTTAGAATTTGTTTGACGGAACTCTCATTTATTTCTTCTGTCAAGAAAAGTCACGGAAATAATGTTGTACCCCTGAATCAAGCTACAACACAGTATGAGATCTGGAAAAATGAATAACGCTCCACAGAAGCAGATTAGCCATCATCACTTTTAAGCAAAAACAGCCCTGAAGGGAAAGACAGAGATCTATTTTTATCATTTTTCAGAAAGAGGAAAACAATATCAATGCATTGCATATTTTTCTATGTATAAAATGAGGTTTGATTGGTTACATTTGTAAAATGATTAAAGAGAGTTTTGATCTGATATATTATGGAGATACTGATCGAGGCTGATATATTTTTAATTTATTGACCGAAACTTTGCAGCATTCTTTTGAAGGCCTTGTTTAAAAGTCACATTTAGTGTTTTGTACGTAATTGGACAAAATGGTCAAAGTTGCAGTTGGACAGTCAAAGCAGAGATGTCTAATATTTGATAAAAAAAAAGAAACATGTAGCATATAAAGTGGGATTAACTACAGTAAGTCAAAATAAGCACATTGGTCTGTGTAAATATTTTTAAATCAAAACACTGTATGTCTTCATATTTACCGTAACTAATGCTATTTTAAGGGAAAAAATGAGACTGCTTGAGCTATGCAAATCAAACAAAATAATACTTAATGTGCTTGCTTTAGAAGTACCCTCATGCAATAAAGTGAATGTATTTAAAACCTTCTTTTGTAATTAAAACTCTTCATTTTTTCGTATCACTTTTCTTCAGTAGTTTGTACATTCATAATTGTATTCCGACACTGTTCACTCATTTCATGTGAATCTACTGTGAATGATAAACAAGAAAAATATCTATAATGCAAATGTTATTAATGTGTTACTTGCAGGGTCCAAAAAGCATTCTTTTTCAAGCTTAAACAGGGAACAGCCAAAGTTTTCTTTCACATGTCATTGCAAATATGCAAATCCCAGAGGTAGACAAGGTTACTCTGTATTGCAAGATAAGTTACAACAGAAGCTCTTTTCAGCAGCTTGTGAGGTAAACTAAATTAATTACAGCAAAATTAAGCCTATTTATTACAAAAGTTTGACGTCTTAATCTTGTTTTGGCAGTTGGAAATGGAATAAGCCACAATCAAACCCATAGTGTTGAGCCAGAAGTCGGTCAATTCAACATTCCAACACGTTTTCACAGAAATCTCAACTGCGTATTTATGACCATAATTGTTACTGGGCCATTTGTAACGTTTCTTCTAAAAAAAAATCAAGCTTTGTGTTGAATATTTGCTTTATTTATTTTACATTTGTGTTTAATTTGGGGATGAGACTTTACTGGAAAGCGACTATAAATTCAGTGTGTTTTGACAATAACAACACAAGCACAAAGTGAAAGCCAAGAAAATGTGTCAGCAGTATGGAATATGGTGCTAATAAATATCTAACACTGTATGTTTGTGATACACACTCTAATTGAAAGTATTAAGACTTTATGTTGTGAAGAAGAGTTGGTTGTTTATATAGACAGTTCACTTTGTTGTATTTGTTAAACACCGGATAGGATGAATGAGTGGATAGGGTGAAAAGGTATTTGTGTAATGGAAAATAAAGAGATTGTTGGAGATTGTTTTAATAGACAGCAGGAGAGGAATGGGTTGTGGTTGAGGTAAAAAAAAAAAAGTTGGTATTGGTACTGACTGTGAGCTACATTATATGCTCATTTAAGGTCTCTTCATCAAATAAATACATTTGTGGACATAAATTGATTTTAGTTAAAATTATTTTTTTATTTGTATATTTATAACACCGCAATAATTACAGTATAATTACATAAGTCCTTCAAGATTCTCTACACTTGATAACAGAGACACAAGATGGCAGCAGTTGTGTTTGCATGAATAAAAGAGAGTGAACCTGTGGTGTGATACAAAATGAAGGCAGCTTTGGTTTCAGACTGATATATGGCATTGCCATGGGCAAAAGAGAATGTTAGTCAAATATTTGACCTCTGAATGCTGTGGAAGCATTGTGAAAGAAAAAAAAAGCATTCTAAACTTAGAATTGTAAGACATTAACTCAGGAATTGTGAGTTTATAACTCGCAATTCTAAGAAGAAGAATACAAATACAAAATCGGAATTGTTAGATCAAAAGTCACAAAAACAACAAAAAAAGAATGCAAGATGTAAATTCTAAACAAAGAAAAAAGTCAGAATTGTAAGAGAGAGAGTGGCAGAACACAATTGTGCGATTTAAATGTAGAATTTTGAGAAAAAAGTCAGATTTTCCGAACGTAAACTGAGGGTAAAAAAGTAAGAATTGTGAGATGTAAGTTATAAACTTGCAATTACAAATTTGTCATTTTAAATTGCAATTACAATTGCAAAATATAAACTCTCAATTCTGAGAATAAGGTCTGAATTGTGAGATATAAACTTACAATTGTGAGAAAAAAAAAGTCGAAATTATCTTTTTTATTTATGTATTTATTTTTTTAATTCTGTGATGGGAACAAGCTTTCCTAGAATGCTGCTCTTGACCAATCAGGACCAAGTATTCCAACAAGCCATATAATAATTTTGTTTATCAAGTCACCAAAATTGTAAACTTTTTGCAGGTTTACAATTATTTGTCATGCTAATAATACATATTACATTAAGGTGATTAAAGGGCAGGGGGATATTAACAAGTTGTGAAAGGGTGTTGAAAGGGTGGCAAGCTGTCAGCTGTCAGCTGTGGGATGTGAGGTAAGGAAATGAGGGCAGAGGAGTGAGTGGACACATGCTTCTGTGGATGATGAGATAAAGTGATCATCAGGCAGAACGTTCTCTCTCATCAGTCTAATAGGTTTGGTTAATGTTCACCCTACGGTATAGGGTTCAAAAGTCAAGCATTTGTGTGAAAGACACAAACCAGTAAAAACCGAGGAACTGAAACTGGGAGATCTGAGCCAAGAGAGACAACAGAGCGAAAACCATGATCACAATCACAGAGTTTCAGAGTGAGTGTCTTTCTTTCACTTGAATATACAAGCACTGTATATGTCACAGTTCTGTACAGTTACCACTCAACTTAGAGACACTGCTATGTTCATTTTCACACTTAATGTAAATTGTTATTGCTCCATTAAATTAAAACGATGTAAATCAGTACATGAAGACTGGCCTGTATTTTAGACACGTTTTGGTTTGCAGTGTTTAGAAGATTTTTTTTTAAATGACTACGAACATATCTGCTTTATTGACTAACTAAGAATACAGCTGTAATCTATTGTGACTTGGATTCTAGAAATCGGTGTGGGTCTGTCAGGATTCGGCATGTTCTTTGTGTTGTTTGAAATACTACTGTACTTTGTGCAGCCTTGGTGAGCATAAGTTTTTTTTTTTTTTCTTTTTTCTTTTTTCTTTTTTTTCTTCAAACATAAAAAAACCTTTTGAACGGTAGTGTGTGTACGCATATATTATGTATTTTCCAAACATTTTTTCCTCTGCTATCAGATTCTGTTTCTGTCTGGTTTGGCCTTCATCATTGGCTTGAGGAGGACGGCCCACTTCTTTTTCCAGAGACAGAAGCTCAGAAGCGCCACCTTCTTTCTAGGAGGTGTGGCTTTAGTTCTACTAAGATGGCCTCTTATTGGCATGCTAGTGGAGACATATGGCTTTGTGCTTCTATTTAAGTAAGTAAATAGTTGAGTCATTTCCTGTCCTAATGGAACAAGGTAGACGCCTCCAAGATGTTCCTACTTCAAACCAACCAAGATGCATTTTGCCTAACTAATTGTGGAACCTTTATTTTACTATTCATTACCCTATACATGCTTTTTTCTCTGCTTGAATTGGCATTGTTTTTAGATTGTTCCTCTCCTAAACTAGCAAATAACAAGATTCTGTATTGTTTGTAGGTCATTCTTTCCAATGGCTTTTGGATTTCTCGCAACAGCCTTAAACATTCCTTTTTTAACTTTTACAATGCTTGAAACAAAACTTTCATAAATCTAACTACCAATTAAATTTAAGTGCAACCTGTGCAGTTAAACACTCAAGGAGCGGTTCTAAATGTTCTCTGATGTTTATATTCTCTCTCTCAGATTTAAAACAAGTTATCTGGAAGTAGTTCCTCAATGGTGTAAGAGCAGATGCTGGAAATCTGGAGGTGCTTTTGCAGTGAACTGTTCAAATTTTAGCTGTTGTTTTTTATGTATATGATGGATAGTTGTCCGTTTATTTTATTTTAAAAATTTTAGCCTATTTACACTTAACCTTTATAATATGTTAAATAAACTCACCAAACATGCCCAGTGTTCTACTCAAGATTATTTTTGTGTTAATTTATTTTAAATACATATCTTAAAAAAAAAAGAAGGAAAAAATGAAGAATTAAAAAATCAGGATTTGAAGTGCACAAGACGCACATAGGTAGATTTCTCGTCGTGAACACAAGCAAAAATAAAATGTCCAGTGATCTCTAAAAGCTTGTTGATGTGCCCTCAGCCCTTCAAGTTATGAATACACATTTTAGAGCAGTGCTTTTACAATCATCTCATTTCTATTTCATCTGTCTGCTCCCCCCAACTTCAATAAACTACCCTCAAATAGAAAATGATATTGAGTTCAAATATATAAAGGCTTTGTGCTTCCGGAATGTTCCTGTGAAAGGGATGGGTGGTGGACCCACCCCGGGGAAAAAAAGACAAGATCAGAGGGAAAGAGGGAAGGGTTGTGGAGGTCTGCGACCCACTGAGGGGGCTATGACGCAGACAATGTTGTTGTATGAGAAAGATAAATTGTGTCTGAAGGTTGCGTAAACCAAACACAACCTCCATACCAGCAAGTGTAAAGGTAAGCCATTTACTCCCACTGCCATGTTCATTTGAATAATTGTCAGTGTATGTGTAAGTGTATATATGCATGTATGTGTGTGTGTGTATGCATTCTCTGTGATGGTCATTAGGGTTTGGAGGGTGTGGAGGGTTTGAATGGCATATTTACATTTGTGCATTTGACAGATAATTTATCTAAGCAATTTACAGTGCATTGATGTAAAAATCAAGAGGATCTGAATCTGATCCAAGTCCTCTAGAGTTTTTTTTTCCTTCATGCAATAGATAAATGCACATTTTGATTCTGCCAATTTCTGCAGCCTTTCAGTTGTTCTTAATGACCTTTTATGTTGCTATATTATTATTGTTTCTTACATAGATCAGTAGCATTTTGGTTACAAAGTACAAGATATGAATTTTGTTATATTTTATTCTAAAACATTTGATTATATTATAAATATATTATAAATGCATAATGTTTTATTAAATATTCATTTTATTATAAAATATTTGTATTATAATATTATTGTTATTTTTATTATTATTACATTTTATATTTTTGTATTTCATTTTTTACACCTATGAACAGCATATAGGAGCAGATGTGAAAGGCTGATTTCTGATGCACACTTCTCTTTGAAGTGTGTGTCTGTGTGTGTTAGAGTCTGTATCTATATGTGTGTGTTTGAGCTCATGAATTGAGTATGAAAAGATACACAAATGTCATAAGAATGTTTGATCTCATAAAAAGTACCCATGATTCAGAAAAACAAAACACGTGTATTGGTTTCTAATTGCTAATTGTTTTCTTACAGAAACTTCTTTTTGGTTTAAAACGCATTAAAAATGATGCTACTTACCATCATTTTGATGTTGTCAGTGGCGAATGGTGACACATACCCTTCAGGGCATTTGCAGTACTATTTAGAAGGTAAGTTCAGTGTTGTCTTTCTTAACTGGCAATAACTTCTAACAAAGACAGGATCAATACAGTTAATATCGAACAGTGTTATTACACAATAGTCTAAAGGCAACAAATGGCTTAAAAATAGATATTTAAGATTCTGGATGCACTGTAAAGTTTAATGTTGTTTAAAAAGTGGCAATATAATATATATCATAAGCCTGCAATAACTGTAAAGCATAGTTTCACTTGTAGGCCTTTGTCTATAGGCTATATCTCTTGAGCTTTTGTTGTATTTCTAGATGAAACTCCTGAGGAAACATCACTCCGAGATCTCAGGGGAACTGACACTCGTCCTGCAGCTGGATCTCCTTCTCCAAAGCTCCCAATGCTTTTCTCCATGGGTGCAGGTCCTCAGAGAAACACATGGTGGTGGTCTCCAGAAAGGCCTTACACAAAAAGGAGGCAGAATGTCGTGTACTACAATCTCAATTCCTTCGGCCTCCGCTATGGGAAGAGAGAACAAAACATGCTTGCAGGGTTTAAACAGAAGATACCTGTGAAGTGAGGTCCACTGGGCCTTTTTTAAATTCTGTATATTGTTCTTTGAGGTTTTATATGGATCTTTTCATGTATTCTTTGTGATAATTTAATCATTTTGATGTACTCATGTTGATGTACCGTGGGATTGATCGGCAGACATGCCATTAGTGGAATAGTTCATAAACTTTAGCAAAATGCTGTAATGATAACTGTGAAGACACATTTTACTAGTAATTAATAAAAATGTTTTGTCATTTGACAAACCTGAATAAAAATACTTTATTAGATAACATTTAAAACAGAAGGTGAAAAATTTTTATTTAATATGATTGAATCAGAGTCTTTTTTTTTTCTTCGTGGTTGTGTACTTCCTGTTCACACTTGCTGATGACAAACCTAACGTTTTAAAAAAAATCTTGTTCTCAGGCTTATTGACCTTTTAGCATGGTAAACTCTTGCACTTACAAGCAAAATGAACTATTCGCAATCAAAAAATAAAACTGTATGATTTTACAGATTACAGATTCTTCTGTGTTTTAAAATTGATAAAAAAAAAAAAAAAAAAAAGAGGG